CCATGGAATTCCAGTTCCATGGAATTCGCACGTTGAAAATATTTACCCTCTGGTAAACTAACATAGCTATGGAAAATCACCATTTTTCATAGGGAAAATCCACTATTTCAATGGTCATTTTTAATAGCAAACTGTTAGTCATTACCAGAGGGTATCTGGACGAGCCAAGCAGCGAAGCCACCTTTCTGGACCAAAAAGAGTCCCGGATACGCAGAAAGTCCAAACCTTCGCGCGTGCTTCGCATCTAAATGGTTATGTACCATCTGGTTATGACTGTTGGGATTTAATGGTGATTTATGGTGATTTAATGGGATTTATGGGGATTTATAGGGGATATAATGGGACATATACCATCTAGTTATGATACAGTTCGCCATGGCAGCCATGGAAAGATCCACCATGCTATTAAGTTCGGTAAACCATCTATTTCGATTAGGGCCATGGCTGATCCCCATGGCGAACTGTTAGTCATACAACCTGGTTAACATAGCCATCTCACAATCTTTTGCGCATGAACAGACTATACATGGTGAGACCCGGCACAAAGGCACTGAGCTGCAGGACTCCTCAGCCACTTCCACTTCCAAACTCGCATCCTTGAAGGCGTGCGCGACTCATGTTCGCAATGCAAGTTGGTTTTTTACCTGGTGATTTTGAGGGTCCTTTGAGATCAAGTTCCACTTGAAAAAATATCTACCATCTGGTTATGACTAACAGTTTGCCATGGAAAATCACTATTTTTAATAGGTAAACCATCTATTTCTATGGGCCATTTTCCATGGCTATGTTAAATAACCAGAGGGTAAACCATTCTAAACCTGTTAAACCTGTGTGGTCTGCAGTTCGTCTCAGGGCGACAAAGGCACAATCTTAGCAAAGGCCACGTTGCCCTGAACGCCAAGGTCGGCCCGGGCCATGTGAAACATGTGAAACATGTGAAACATGTGAAACATGTGAAACATGTGAAACATGTGAAACATAGGATGGTATCATATGAATCATATGTCAATATACGATTAATATATGTAAATACCCTCTGGTAAACTAACAGTTTGCGAACTTGAAAATGGCCCAGTCGAAATAGTGGATTTACCCAGCTAGAAAATGGTGATGATTGTGATTTTTTCTATGTTTACCAGGCCGGGTAATGTTCATTGAACATTCACTTTCCACATCACTGAACTATAACATTGCGCTGAAAGGTGTCGACCAGTGATCCTGAGAATCCACCGAAAGATCAGCAGATCCACGGTGCCTGCAAGAGCTCTGCAGCCTTTTTCACTTCGGGTTCCACGCCACGGCTATGTCCACCTCAAAATCGCTGAGTTAGCTGACAAAAAATGAGGGATATGGGGCGATCCCAATCTGTGGTCATTACATTTTGAAGAAAAGGATGATAAACGATGGGTTTTGAAAAAGTCTTGTATTTCAGCAAAAAGATGTTAGATAGGTGATGTGCAACAGTGCTTTCACACGTTTGGCAGATTTGCCAAAGATGCAAGGTTTGTGCAGCTAGGGGGAACACAAATCCTATTACCCCAATCAGAAAAGTACCCATAGGGGCCTTCAAAATAGACAAACCAAATGCTTATTTGGGGAAAGGGAGTGAACCTCCTGCAAACCCAGGCAACCCATTTCCAAACGGTCACTACTCACGATAGAATCATGAAAATGTATTTTCTCGGTTGTTTGAATCTATATTTTGTGGTGCAATGACTAGGACCTAAACCAATTTTTTTCCAAATTTCTGTTCATTTTTTTCACGCTAAACGCCGCAGAAACATGCAATGCAAGCCACACCATGGCGCATAGAAGAACAGCATCATCCTGGTGCATGTTGCTCGGTGCAACCAGTGGGTAGTAGAACCCTACCAAAGTGTTATGGAGTTATGGTCATTCCAGGCCATGACATTCAGAATTTACGCTGCCGTGACACAATCCCTCTCTAGCACAATTCATGAACATGTTGTTCTCCTTCTTGCAACCCTGATCGCACTTGATTTACACTTGGCCCATGTAGACAACTTCATGAATCGATCTTTTCAGGTAATCTCCACACCGCCATTGCACCTGGGATATGCACGCATGGCCCAAGTGAAGTTTCGACCGTCCAATGGGAAGAGAGCCTCCTGGGTGCTTGAAACTTTGGGTTCCGCCACTGATTTTTTCTGAAAACCGCTCAAACGGTAGCTGATCTGCGAGTTTACGTTTTGATTTTCAATACAGTGACATGGAGTTCATGAATCAAAATTGAAAAGGAATCCCGACCAATGCGTACAACCAAAAAACCAAACTAGAAATGCGTAAGTAAGTGTCCAAGAACACAAGAGAAGAAACAATAAATTTCGTTGAGTCCATGCAATTGCATTTTTGGAGTTCAACCAAAAAATGAAGAATGGGAGCACCTGATGCCGGGACCATGCCCGCGCAAGCAAAGCAAACGCCAAAAGCAACGTCCGCCCGTTGCATTTGGACTTCGGCATGGCTTTGGGGAGGCCAGGCAACTCTGGACATCTGCTGGGAATTCGCTGATCAGTTTGATGACAACTGAAACAATCTGTGGGTATTCGCTGATCGAACGGTGGCGAATTTCACTGATTTCACCATTGCTTAGACCGAAGTTGTTTCGCATCGGCCCGCATCGGCTACTTGTCGCAGTACTCGGATTTTTCATGATTTTTCCGTGCTGTTTTGGGCAATTCGATCAAGACTATAGAAGGTAACGAATAATCTCCCGAATTTGTCGATGCACTTACAATTTACAACACTCCGATGTGGTGTACCGATGAAGCTGCCACCTCATGAAATCGGTATGGTGCAAAGTGTTTCAAAATATGTCAAACCTATAGAGCTACAAAGCCTTCCGTCGACAGACGTGCCACTTCCCATTCAAACAATACAATGGCAACAGTTTTCGGGGACCCGTTGTTTCCTTCACAAATCGCCAAACACCCAAGGCCAATTAACCAAGCATTCGAGTCCAAAATTGGCAAAACACCCAAAGCTAAAATAAACCAAAATTTGATGTGGTTACTTCCCGAAAACCAAAATTTTGTATATCACAATGACTTTTCCGACATCGAAATCCACAAGTCCAAAGGAACACAAAAACAAAATTGAATCAGAACAACAAATGCCGGCTCAAAGAGTCTCAAAAATACCTTCACCATTGCGATCACCATGGATGGAATAATATCCTGTCCCTGGGCCAACATTAAAAACGTTTCAAAATTAAAGGACCGGATAACCCCACAAGTCAACTTCTTCCTAAAATGAGTTTCAATGGTTTTAGCGGGGACTGGGAAGAAAGGAAAGACAAAGGAGGTGGTGAAAGATCGAGAAGGTAAAACGGTAGGTATGTATGTATGTATGTACGTGCGTACGTACGTATGTATGTATGTATGAGGGTACGTATGTATGAGAGTACGTATGTATGTATGTAGTTGTATGTGTGTGACAAAGGTGCGTGTGAAAGATGCTGCGTGTCAAAGATGAAGTTGACGATGATGACATAGAGGAACGGTACCTGGCCGCAAAGGTGTAGAACACGAATGTAGCTGGTTGTCAATGCAACTATGGAGGACAAGTACAGAGCGCATGCCTGTCAAGGCACGACACAGTCACAGGCATCTGCGCGCGCTTCTTCCCACATTGGGTCAAAGCTCTGGCTCCCGAGGTCAGAGACTGCTTGACTCATTGTCAGGCTGTGAGACACGCGCCTGTCCTCCGTCCAAGAAGTTCACTGGAAAGGTGCTTGCGGCAGTTGCAAAGACACAGAGGCTTCATGCGTGCGATCTTGTTACTACATGACAGCTGCAATATCTCTCTCACGTCATGTCTGCGCTGCACAGCGTTGCTCAAGCGCAGTTGGGCCCTGCCTGTCTGCTCAAGCGCAGTTGGGCCCTGCCTGTCGTAGCGACCACGAGCAAGACCAGCACCTGGCCGCAAGTGTGTGTGTGGAACGACATGATGAAAGCCTGCATGCAAGAAACAGAATCTGTCATGTCTGCGCTGCACAGCGTTGCTCAAGCGCAGTTGGGCCCTGCCTGTCGTAGCGACCACGAACAAGACCAGCACCTGGCCGCAAGTGTGTGTGTGGAATGCAGCAGGCCGAAAGAAGAAAGTACTTAAACATGCCAAAATCAAACATGCCGAAACACGCGGAAAGAAGAAACATGCCGGAAGATAAACATGCAGAAAATGGTAAAAACAACATGCCGGAGCGACCATCCAACATGCTGGAACATAACATACTAAACAAGCCAGTAGAACAAACGAGGCGAAGACGAAAACAGTGCCACGTGAAATCAATAGTAAAAACAACATGCCGGAGCGACCATAAACAGGACACGCGTAAACAAGCGAAGTAGAAAACAGGTTGGAAACAGCAGAAAACATGTCCGAAAATAAAACATGCCGGAGCGACCATCCAACATGCTGGAACATAACATACTAAGCAAGCCAGTAGAACAAACGAGGCGAAGACGAAAACAGTGCCACGTGAAATCAAGGTGGATATCACCAAATGCCACGCCTGCCACGCAAAGTCTCGCGGCATCATGGACATGCGATTGTGCCACGCCTGCCACATGATCTCAAGGTGGATGTCACCAAGTGCCACGCCTGCCACGCAAAACGATCGTGGTTGTGCGATTGTGCCACGCCTGCCACGTGAAATCAAGGTGGATGTCACCAAGTGCCACGCCTGCCACGCAGAAGTGGCGCGGCGTCACGGGCGTCACGGGCGCCTAAACCAAGACCAAGCGCGCCACCCAGTACCATAAGTGCCACGCCTGCCACGCAAAACGACGGTGGCTGTGAGTTCGTGCCACGCCTGCCACGTGATATCAAGGTGGATGTCACCAAGTGCCACGCCTGCCACGCAAAACGACCGTGGATGTGCGATTGTGCCACGCCTGCCACGTGAAATCAAGGGGGATGTCACCAAGTGACACGCCTGCCACGCAGAAGTGGCGCGGCGTCACGGGCGTCACGGGCGCCTAAACGAAGACCAAGCGCGCCACCCAGTACCATAAGTGCCACGCCTGCCGCAAAACGACGGTGGCTGTGAGTTCGTGCCACGCCTGCCACGTGATATCAAGGTGGATGTCACCAAGTGCCACGCCTGCCACGCAAAACGACCGTGGATGTGCGGAGATAAACTGTTCCAAAGCAAGGAAGTAAACAGAGGGTATAGCCTACCACCAATAGTGCATGCCTTCCATGGGAGCAAAGTAGGCCTGGGGCACCAACTACAACAGTGGCAAAGCAAAGGGCTGCAACCGCTTGCTGTGTCGCTCATAGGAGTCGAAGAGGCACCCCCGTTATGGACGCACCCCACAGGCTGCGATTTCGTTAGAGGGAGTAAAATAGTCGCCAAGCCACATGTCCCGCAAAAGCGCAGTCTTACCAAGACGCAAGTGTTGCTGCTGCAGAGCCTTTGGACGCCAGTGGAAGCCCCTAATTGCAACAATGACCACACACCCTGGCCCAAAACTTGCGAGCCTACCTGTGTCTTCTGCGGTCAGCAAGCGAGCCTCCAGCTCCCTACTGCCCAAATCCTCCCGCTCCTAGAAGCACTGCAACGACGACTGGGAATTGACCCTAGTAGCGCAGAATTAGCCATCAACAAAGTTCTTGCTAGCCATGCAGACCCTAAATATACTGACTGGAAAATCATTGTCATGGACAACACCACCTGGCAACTCAATGACGCTGACCCAGGGTCCCTGGACGTTCAGTGCACTGGGTTAGGTGGAGGAGAACTCGATGAAGAATGGGATGTACTGCTAGCTTGCAAAAAGGAAGCGCATGTGTATGGGCCATCCCTCAGCAAACAGGACGATTGGAATGCAAGGGCTGGCACAATTGCAGGCACCGCCCATACACAGGAATACTTGCTGCTGCATGTAGCCATGTTTCCCATTGGTGCGCATACCTGGTGCCGTGTCTTAGGAGTGCCCAGTGCTGACCAACTGCAAGCACAGATCATCAGTCGAGCCATGAAACTGCTGAGCTTCTGTCCCATTACCCCAGCGCATAGGAAACCACCGTGGCCAGGGTACAAGCATGGCCTGCGACTTTTTACTAAGTTATTAGTTGCACATCCGTTGGTCGGAGTATGCCTGCCTCCTGACATCCGCCCAGCAGATTATCTGCGATTAACGGGATACATGGTAGGTTCTCTTTTCATTCGAGGACACAGCGCTGGCTCGTATGCAGGAATGGTATGGGAGACCATCCTCTCGGAATTCCCAGACATTGAAGGTAAAACCGTGCTAGCCGCCATCGCCCTGCCGCCATCGCTACTGACAGCACATAGCCTGTCTCAGCTTCGACAGATACATCTCATTCACCATGCAGATGACCGGCTTTGCGTGTGGAACCCGTCGAACCAAGACATAAAACTGCTCAGGCAACGGGGCTTTGCAATCACACACATCACAGGATGGAGAGCATACCTAGGCACTGCACAGCACAGCTACTCGCACTGGACACGAGTCACCCTCCCAGAGGGACGACCAGACATGGCGCAGTTAGAGGGTACCCCACAAGTGCTTCCCTTTGAGGTCTACTCACAGGCTCCCCTCCGCCTGATCTCATGGTGTAGCTTCGAGCTCCCAAAAACAGCCAAAAAACTCCTGCGCGAACTAGCTGAAATGTGCGAGCTACCTGAGACCACGACACAGGCACTTGTCGCCCACATTGCGGTTCACAACTCAGCAGTACAAACGGAGCAAGAGGCAACCCAGTACCTAGCCTCGTTGGCAACGGTTACCATCGCGTCAAGGACCAAATTGCTCAATTATATCACCATGGTTCAACATTTCCTCGGCACCCTGCAATTGCCCATGGCTGTCTACACGTTAGACTACTATTTGCCCATGCTCAGCCCCAACGAAGGCTATAATGAAACAGGTTTAACGATGCAAAGTGCAGGACCTATCCGTCAACCATGGCAACCAATTACTTTCGAATTCCTCTTTAAGGGTAGTGAATTTGGTCACTGGAAGGCCAAAGGCGGACAAGATGCATTTGCGTTCCGACATCCAAGCCTTGGCAAAACTGAAGTCTTCAGCCTCCTAGCCAGTGATGCGCACCATCACAAAGTTAGCCCTATCGGCACGGGTAGGCTTGTCGCAATGGTAGGTACCGCAGATGCTCCAGCTGATGACGGAAGAGACCTTCAAATCCTTTTTGGGTTGGTCCTAGCCATCACGCCACGCACATCGAAAAGCAAGGATGAGCTGCCTGCCTCCCGCATACACAGACAGTGCAACCCCAGATTCATCGAAGTAGCTTTTCTCTCAGGGCCAGCCATTAAATTTTTTGCGCAAGAACAGTTTGTTGCCCTTCAAGACTGGTATGTTGCCTCCGGCCAGCGCCTGGACCCAATCGATGCGACCGTTCAGGGGCAGAAAGGCCAGGTCCCAGAGACCTTCTTCCTACACACAATGTGGATGTTCGGATGTACTAAGCCTACCAGAGAGGTTACCGCTG